CTAATATAATTAACTTAAAGCTATAGTCACTTTCTTATTGAAAGATAACAATCTGAAAAATGTATTTATACTCATGACAGTTTATCTCACATAGGACAATAGATGATTAGTGATTACAACTTGGATTTGTCATGGTTGAGTTTGGTATATGCGGTTACGGATATGCATAAAAGATAAAAGGTCCTCTTAGTAGGTTTTAAGCAAGGTGAAGGATTTATGCCTCAAGTAAGCTTTATGAAGTATTGTCAAGAAAGATGCTATAAATTGTATCTCTTAGGAAAATTGCTATTAAGAGAAGTAAAGGAAAAAGGAATATAATTTTTCTCTTATTTTCTTTATAATTGTTTCTTTACAAAGTAAACCTAATTGCTTCAGTCTTCTTAATTCGCATAACAAGCGTGGAGATACTATTTAGAATGCTTCATTAACTGACATTTATGTTTCTTTTGTAGCAGCAAAGAGGGTGAGCTTGGGCAGGAAGACGATTATCTGTTATCAAATCCATATCATTTGGTATTAATCATGACCATATTTTATGTCTTTGAGATGTAATTTTAAATAGTAGCTTTGACAGACAACTTATGACATCTGCACTTGTGAGTTTTATCCATGCTAATCAATTATTTTACTTTAAATTTCTCCATTATCATTATGTATTTTCCTTTATATTTGAAGCTTGTAAGTTGTAATGCTTTGGCACCTGACAATTTGATGGTTAGCAGCCATGAATGACATGCTTTGCTTGAATATAATATTGAGGCAATGCGATGCAAATTCAAAAAATTTATGGTGTGTACTTGTTTATGAAACCTTTTCTCATTTATTTATTTTTTAAAAATGAAACTACTCATTTTATGAAAATTTTCCTTCTCAAAGTGGTGGTTCATAGAGGGAGCTTCTTGTATTATTCACATATCCCCTCCCAAATAGGTTACCTTTACCCCTCTATATGTTGTTCTTTTTTCGCTCAGGAATTATATAAAAAAATTGATTACATCCATCCAAGTGAATTCTAATCAAATATTAAGTGTCAGCAAAAATATATGAAATGACAATTTCTTTCTCTGTCTTACCTTTCCTGGACAGCTTGGACTTTTCTCATCTCAGGTCTTCCAGGAGTCTCCACGAGATAAGATTTGGAAAAGGAAACATTGTAATAATGCTTACTCCTCCTTGATCCAATTTAATTTTTTATATTCCTGTCTATAACTATTTATATCTCTGTTTGTGCAGCACCTATTTATGAAATGGAGAAACATTGTAATGTTGAAATTGCAGCACAAGTTTCTCGTGTCACATCTTCCACTACTGGTACTTGATTTATCTTATTTACCTTCCTCTTTACCCAATTTCTCCCTGTAGTTTGACCAAGTACCAGGAAGCAAGTGATTTATCTCGAGTTACTTGTCATTTCCAGATGTAGATCGTGATCATTATCATCTAGAAGGATTGATGGAAAGCCCTTCAGTGGATGACGATGGAAACTGTTTCTCACCCATGCTATTAAATGCTACTTCTGTCAATATAGAGGTTTACTACAACAAAGCAGTTAACTATACGTTGATGGTCACCTTTGTATCCTACAAGAGTTGTTATTTCATTGATATTATTTTTTCTGTAAACTGCATTTTTGTGGATTCCTTAACTTATGAAAACCCTAGGTATCTTTTCTTCAAGTGCTCCTTCTCATTCGGCAAATGGAATATAGCAACACCCAATCAGTAAGACTACCACTTTGTGTTACATTCAATGATACAAGTCTTCACATATTTTTTTTGCTATTTCAATGTATTAAATCAAGTGAATAATGTCTAATTTTCCTTTTCTAGGGAGCTTCCAAAGTTTCAATTCTGATGATCGGACAACAGGGAATAATTGATTCTTATCTTTGTCTTCTGCATCTGACTGCAGGCATACTTGTTGGTAAGTTAGATGGGTAGCTGATATCTAGGTCACTGTAACCAGCACGTTTATCTGGTTTTATTATCTAAAAATTGCAGAGTGGTGGTAACAATGACGTAACCCTCTTAAGATAAACACTTCCTAGTTAGTAACTTGTTAACAAGTCATTACTATGTCATGCTTTTGCCTTCCTGTTACCTACTCTTAGAAGTTTGTATGGCTACTTAAAGTGAATTTTACGTTCCTAATGTGTTCATTACTTCTTATAGACTCTTGTTGAAGATTTTCTCTGAGAAACTCATGTTGTTTTAGCTGCAATTCTGCACTCTGCTAATCTTTCGCTCTTTAACAGAATCCCTGTTCAATGCTTTTGCAACTGCTGCATTTTTCAAGTTTGTTGTGTTCTCAATATTTGAGATGAGATATCTTCTCGCTATATGGAAGGCAAATAGACCTATGAATAGTGGAGAGGGTTGGGAAGCAATGAGGCGTGAGCTATCAGTTCTATACAGCCGTTTCTGTAAGTATCCCTTGCTGAAATGTGGACATGTGCATAAATAATAAACTGAGTCACCAACTATATATGCCTGTATCTTTAATTTGTCAAGCTGCAAGGTATGAATTCTACTGATAGGGGAAATTAGATGTTGAAGAGTAAATAACACATTTGGGTTTATCTGGGAAATCTTTCTTTCACATAATCCTACCTGCTTTCGTATAGCTCAATTCAGGAACTATTCCCGGTTCTATTCCATTTCTCTACCTAATGAAGAAGGATTTATCCTCTGATTTGCAATAATTTATCCAATACACACTAGGCTTCAAAATTTGGTGACTTGTGAATCTGACATAACGTTTTAAGAAAATGAATCAGTGTCTAGGGTGAAAATATAAGCAATGAATGAACTTCACCGTTCAACATGGTTCATGGTTTGCTTCAGATGTGTGCCATGGGCCTAACGAATTGAGATTTTGTCCAGCAAAAAAATTGAAATCTCTCTTAGGCAGAAGCTTTATGTCGTTTTGTCATCCAAAAATCTCAAAAGAAAGTAGTCATGCAAATTTGGTAGAGAAACACTAAAGCAATTTCATTAGGCCTTTTCTCCACCCCGCCCCCCGTCTCTCAGCTTGATATGCTTCAACTGTCATGGACAACACACTCATTTCTCTATGTTTACAACAACAACAACAACAAACCCAGTGATTTCCCATAAGTGGGGTCTGGGGAGGGTAAGATGTACGCAACCTTACCCCTACCCTGGAAGGGCAGAGAGGTTGTTTCCAATAGACCCTCGGCCAGAGAACGGATGAAAAAAGTAATGGCAACAAGTAGGAATAACAACAAGATAAAAATAAGACCGAAGCCAAGAAAGAAGTTAAACTCTAGGTAGTAATAGCAATTTATGAATAAAAGGATATCATTTCTCTATCTTTATTTTCCAAAATTGTTTTGCAGATGGGATCCTTTTAGGTGGCATTTTGGTCATGTACGAGTTCCATAAGTTTCTGCGGCCTCTTCTTCTCCTTTTACACTCTTTTTGGATACCTCAAGTTGTAACTAATGTTATTCGTGACTCGAGAAAACCATTGCATCCTCATTACATCTTGGGAATGACTATAACTCGGTTAGCAATCCCACTATATGTCTTTGGTTGTCCTCACAATTTTATGCGGATAGAGCCCGACGAAAATTGGTGCATCTGCTTGGGAATTTTCATGGCATTCCAAGCATCAGTTCTTCTTTTGCAGCACTATCTTGGATCTCGGTGGTTCATTCCTCGTCAGGTATTATGCTGCTCTACTTGTTGATTTTCGATGAAACGATTATGCTATTAGAAGTAAGAAAACAACTGAGAAGAATAAGTTTTGCAATAACCGATCTTTTTTGATGAAGTATACAAAAGTAGATGCTCTAGACAAAAAAATGATTCTTAGGATAAAGCATCAATCATCTATTGAGTTTTGCAGTGACCTATCTTACGTAAGCTTTGTTGAGGTCTTGCAGATTTTACCGGAGAAGTATAGCTATTATAGAAGGTTTAACCAGGATGCAGCTCGTGTCTCTGACTGTGTCATTTGCATGACTGCTATTGATCTTACTCAACGTGCAAATCATTGGATGGTAATGCAACTTGTATTGAACTTTTCTCGCTATAATTTAGGATTCCTGTCAAATATGGTAAAGAAAATCCATATGGTTATAATGCGCCAATTGATTTGCAGGTGACGCCTTGTGATCATTTCTTTCATTCCGGTTGTTTACAAAGATGGATGGACATAAAGATGGAGTGCCCAACATGCCGACGTCCTCTTCCTCCCGCCTGNTGCCTGAATAGATTTATTTTTGAATTCCTATTGATTTGGAACAACTGATATCACCAACCTGTCAAATGAGGTAAAATGGCTATGCATGTATATATGTTTAAACCGTCGGTAACATTCTTTCCTCTGGAACTCTTCAGGCGATATTACCTTACAAAATGTGCGGAAATTCAGTGTGGCAATGAGTTCTAAAAAAATTAAAATAAATTGTCTGCCTTAACGCATGATGTTGTGATTATTTCCCTCAAAAGATAGAAACGTTCCTTCTTCCCCGTGATCCTGAAGGAAATGTGTAATGTGACTGAGCTTTTGTGCTTTCTTTCAGGTTGGTGGAGGATTGCATCGGAGCATTCTTGAGAAGTCTTCAGTAGGTTTTAAAAATTTAACACAGATTCACCAGATTGCCTTGTGCAGTTCTTGTAATGTATATTATGGTCAATGTAGTTCTTGTTCAAGGTGATAACATTTCTAGATTCTTTTCTTGTATCCCATTACACCAGCTTTTGTTTGAGATATAGGTTGGGAAAACAAGTTGTAAATTCCAAGTTGGGAAATGTAGTCTTTGATCAGCACCTTTCAATAGGTGAATTACAGGTAGATAGGAATCATGATTTTTATAGGAACTAGATGTGTATAGTCTGCAGATTTTGTTGTACTCAATACTATGGTTTCTCGTACAGAATTTGATTTAATTGTCTAATAAGAGATGGAATTGGAAGCATTGTTATACCGGTTTTCAAATTTTGACTTGTCTGAGATTATGATCAAGATTTCCAAGTCTGAGAATCATTTTTTGGGACAATACAAATAAGTAGCATCACAGTTAAACTACCAACATATAGGAAACTTCATCACACACCATATTTACAGATATTATTCCTTAAATTAGATCATAACACTTCTTTTCCTTTTTTCACATTAGCTACTAAATTTGAAAATAAAATAAAAGAAAACTCGAAAGCTAATATTAAGTCACATTATCAACAGAAGCAACTCAATAGCAAAAATCAAGTGCCACAATGAAGTGCAAAACAGTCTATGGGATGCTCAGCCACAGGGTCACATTCCTTCTTGCTTCTTTGAAGAGGTTTTTCTGGCAAACAGTTCCGACGATCATCGTACACTATACCCTTTGATGTCAAATTGCTGCAAATTCCCTGCTCCTCACAAAAGTAGTTATAAGAGAAAGTGAAGTTTGATAGTTTAGGCAAGACACATATTCCTTCTGGCACAATTCCATTCATCATGTTATGTGCTAAATTTAGTAGCTCCAAGTGAGCTAATCCAGCAATACTATAAGGTATTGGCCCTACCAACTTATTATTACTCACATCTAGCACTTTTAACTTGTACAAGAATCCCACTTCAGGAGGCAAACACCCTGATAAGCTAGTATTAATAAGGAGCAATTCTTCCAAAGTGTTTGCAAAGTTGGCTATGCTAGGTGGTAAGCATCCTCCAAAATAATTATTGGCAAAAACAACAACAGAAGCTGTGCTTGATCCTAGATTTGAAGGGATCATGGAAGTTAAACGATTATTGTTAACGAAAATAGCATCGAGATCCTTACTAAAGAGTTGAGAAGGCAAGGGCCCTTCAAACTCATTGAAGCGAAGATCAAGATATTTTAAGGAAGGAAGAGAGAGCACGAGATTTGGGAAAGGTCCTACGAATNGAAAATAGCATCGAGATCCTTGCTAAAGAGTTGAGAAGGCAAGGGCCCTTCAAACTCATTGAAGCGAAGATCAAGATATTTTAAGGAAGGAAGAGAGAGCACGAGAGTTGGGAAAGGTCCTACGAATCTGTTGTTACTGAGATCAAGCTCATGCAAGAGAGTAAGATGGGATAAAGAGAGAGGGAGGATTCCACAAAAGCGATTGCTGTTTAGGTGCAGCAATGCTAAGTCATTGAGAAGGCCGATTTCATCAGGTAAGAAACTAGCTATATCAGCATGGTTCAGATCAATACCAGCAACAACTTGAATTTTAGTGTCATTTGGGAATGGCGCGCAATAAATGCCAGTGTAGTTGCAGACTGAATGGCCAATCCAATTGGCGGTCATGTTGTTTGGATCAGAATAGATAACGCGTTTCCAAGCTTGGAGGGCGATGTAGGCTTTTTGCAGCCTGGTGTTTGTTATGGCCTTATTAATGGAGGAGGAATAGCTGTTTTCGTGGTGGTAAAGGGCAGTCTTATGACCATGTTTGGCTGCTGAGTTGTTGAACATATTGGAGGTGAGACTTAGAAGAAAGAGAACAAAGGCAGTAGTAGTAATGGGAAAGGAAAATGAAGCCATCTTTTGTTAAGGACTGGCAATGGAAGTAAACAACAGCCTCTCTTGGTTTTTGTAAGGTGTGATATCCTTTCTTTTTCAGTTTTAAGTCCTCTGGTTAATGATATAGTCACTACCTTCTGTTAGGATTACTGCATTTCACCACAACCGAAATAACAGCAACCTAACAACTGTCAGAAATAGCTGCCAACATAATTATGTTTTTATGATGTATCATGTTTTCACACCCTTATCAGATGGTTTATACGAAATTTCTTGGATTCTAGATCCAGCAGACTCTACAATAAGACATGAAGATTCAATGTGTTGAATGATCATGCTATTTGTAGACAAAGTGGAGTTAGAAGATGTGAACGATATAGACTTCCCTCCTTACAGGTAGCTTTCTCAGTTGTTTGAAGTGGGATTCGATAGAAACACAGTAGAGTTAAGGGCAGACAGGATCTTAACTTGAATTTCAAGAGATGAACTTTATGTTTCTAACAAGGTTTTTAGATGAACAAATGAGCTTTTGCCAAGGCATAACCGGGACAACGATGTTTATATTATCTAGTTGAATGATGGTTATAGGCTTATTATTGCTACACACAGAAGTTTAGTAAGGAAATAAGAAAAATATCGTATATAAGATGGATAATGGATAATATCACTCCTAGGATAGCCAAGATCTTATGGCTCAATTCCCGTACAATGCTTATAAAAGTTTTCGACGAAAACAAAAAGATTACCAAGTTGTGATATTTGTGTTGAAACTTGAAACAACACCAGAGAGAAAGAATAGAGAAACAACAATTGTTCTCCTTATCTTGTCAAAACTTGCTAAAGAGATGAAGCTTCATTTGCATGCCAACTACAATCAAACTCGGCAAATCGTCTGCGTTTTCCTTGCTTCGCCCTTGTGATCTCCGTCATAATTTTAATGAATTCAACAAGATTAACGAAACTAATTTCAGTATGCGCTGTCGTTTAACAAGCACGTTTCCATATCTTATTTAGGCTACGTATGCACTTGAGGTGGCGATCGAGTCTTATGACTACAGCTAATAGCAGTAAAATATCCCAATACCTCACTTCCTTCTCTTGGCGAATTTGTTGACAATATGAGCTCTTGCTATGAAGTAGCAGAAAGTAAAACCGTACATCAATTTCTGCATAATAGACAACTATAAGCATACAGCAGTTTCAAGAGTTTCATAGCAACAAGGATAACAACTACAGGGAAATTACAGTTCCTGCATAAACTTTCAAGAGAATCCAAACCAATGTGACACTGTTCGAGGAAATTATTTGAAAGCACAGAGACAACCAAGGAAATATACACAACCAAAGGACAATCATTTCGTCATCATCACCATATTTAATCAACCACCGCCACCAGATCCATATTTCTTTCCGAACATAATCAGCTGCAGCTTATCGTATCCGGCTAGAACACCTGCACCAGCAACAGCACGTAGAATATTTGCTCCAGCACCTTTGAAAAGTGATTTAGTGCCTTCATTCTTAACAATCTGCGTAAACGCATCCATTGAGCCCTTGTACTTCACTGCTTCTCCAGAAGTCATCATCATTCTTCTACGCACTGTATCAATTGGATAAGAAGCCAAACCAGCACCAATAGTGATACCCCACCCCAACAAGAAACTCGCGAAAAAGCTATCCTGTAAACACGAAAAAATGTAGTGTTAATACCGGCCACTTTGTGGAAACAGAAACTAAAGGTAATAGCAATGAGATGGCAAATCCATCCTTCAGTTCTAAATGTTGATGGTGTGACCCAACAGAGGAGGACTGATATCACATAATTCATACACATGCAAGTCAAATGGTTAATTCATGCATAACCCGAGTCCAATCTCCAAAATTTGACAGATATGTAACCATAACTCAAACGATAACTTTTGCATATGGATAATAAATCATTGACAAAATGGAGTGCTGTGTGTGTGTGTGTTGGGGGNTTCTGATACCTGCAAGTCACCAACTAGAACAACTGGTTTAAGTGAATCATACATCCCAAAGTACAGACCACGGTAAACAATGATTCCCACACATGAGATGGTGAATCCACGATAAAGCCCCCCAATACCATCTGATTTGAGAGTTTTCCTATAAACATCAACCAGACCATTAAACTGCCTCTCACCACCCTTTTTCGCAGCCTTATTATCATTAGCAAGGCGTGTTCTCGCATAATCCAAGGAATACACAAACAAAAGGGATGAGGCACCAGCAGCACCACCAGATGCCAAGTTTCCCGCAAACCACTTCCAATAGCCATCCCTGTCTTTTTTGAAATTAAACAGTCTCTTAAAGTAATCTTTAAAAGCAAAATTCAAGGCCTGCAAAAGACAAAATTAGGAATTAATAATTCTGAAGGACAAAAGGTGCTGCAGTAGTGGCCACAAATTTACTACTTAAATGTACCTATGCCTCTTTCAAGTCCTCTTCTTTTTTCCTTATTTGGTAATGCACTTCACTGGAGAGATTTATGAATTTTTACAGTATTACAATAAAGCAAAATGTACCTATTCAAAAAATTCAGGAATTAGTGATCCTAAGAACACAAACTGATGTAGTGATGGCCACGAAATTGTTTAAACAACTCAAATGTACCAATGATACTCTCAAGTCCTCCTCTTCTTAGCTTTTTTGACAATTTTATAACAGTAAAAAGATTCATAAAGTTTCACAATCATTATAATAAAAAAATCAATGCATTTTAATAATGATGGCAAATGTATTCAAATCCAGGACTTATCCGGGAGGACACATAATGATGTACCAGCGACCACAAAAATAGTTAAGATACACAAATGTACAGACACTACGGCCGAGATAACGCACATCCTTAGAGAGATCATGATGTCTCAAAGTCAACACAACAATAACAGTAAAAACTTCAAAGTAATGACGGCAAAACTAATTCATATGTTCTATATTCTGCTGTAGTATACCTTTGTAACTGTCTCGTAGGTAAGTAACAACAATCTTTGGACTAAAAAGCGATCAAAAAGCAGAAGAGTGCCTCAGCTAAGTGTAATGAAAAAGTTTAAGTAGCTATTGAAATTGTAGACAGAACGAATAGGGATCAACCAACAGAAAGTTAGAACTGCCAACCTGAGTCGGGAAGTATCTGATGACATTTGCAGTATTGCCTCTCCAAAGAGCAATGACGCCTTCATCTTTAATAGTTCTGCCAAAGCAGTCCGTAATGCCTTTGTAAGGTTCAGAAAGTCTACCAGCTTTTATCATCTCATCCTGGTTCTGAATCAAAAGCTTGACTCTCTCTATCGGAGCTGCAGCTGTTTTAGACACTGCAGCAGAAACCCCTCCCATGAGAAAATCCACTATAAAACTGTTAGCCTTCTTCTCTTCAGATGGGGCCTGTATGAGAATAGGATTGCGCAATGACTGGATTTCCAGGATATTGGCATGGCAACTCGTCATGAAAGCACCCCGTAGAACTTCATTGACATACCCACCAGCCATGTTGTATGAACCAGCATGCTTGGAATGTGTGTGGGGAGATATTAGAGAGAAGAGGTGTGAATGCCCATGTATTTTCTGAATTACAGATGGGCGCGGTGACCCGTCCCCCATGTTTGTAAGTCAATACTATGACCTGCACAGAAAGCAATAATAACTGAAGCATTTCCCTAAAGTACAAGCAAGTGGAGAACGGAAGCTTCCAACAAGGATCAAGCACAATAATTAAGCAACAATGTCTAAATTTCAGTTCAAGAGCGAAAATAGTTCAAAAATTGGAACACAGAAATTTAATGACTAAGCAGTCAAACCCTACCAATAAAAGCACATCCGCACGAACATGAGATAAAGTAGGAAATCTAAGCAAACATAATAGAATACTCACCAAACAATTCAATACGAGCAAAGTTAGAAATAACTATTTGACAATTACTCTTTATTGACAGGAAACAACAAATAAATTAGGCAATGAAAGAAAAATGTTTTGGATCAGAAAAGTAAAGCACTATTCCAAGACAAGTAGACGCTAAACATGTAAATTATATATAATTACTACTATATTTATCAATATTATCAAAAGAGAGTAATATTTTTCAAAGTTCAAACTCAAATCAGAAGTATAAAACATCAAAACTAGGCACAGAAAAAGGAAATAAGCAATGATCTCAACTATTCTCGACCAAACTATTATTCAGTGTAATAAGTAACCAATTATACAACACAACCAGTAACACATGGAGTATATCAATATTGAAAATGAAACTAAAGCTCAAATAAACGTTTTATAACACAATTATTAGGTAAGATGAACTTCACAATCAGTGATCTTATGATCCGATGAATATGAAATGAAGCTGACAAGTAAACAAAATTATCCCTAACTAAAAATAAACAAGTGATAACAGTCCATATAGCAATATTACACACAGTATGGGCGTTTCTACGTGAAGAGAGAGTGAAAACACATACCCTGAGATGGTCGACAAGTCTCGTTCCCACCTCTGAGGAAGGCACAAAGTAATATTTTTCAAAGAAGCAGAGCGTCTTAGCAAATCGGGAGCTTCGAGTTTCTAGAAGCTACGGAAGACTAGGGTTTTACAATTATTGACTCATCTGACCCTATTTTTCCGCCAAAATTATCCTCACTGCCATTTTCGCGCTTCATCCAACAGTCCTCCGTGACTCTTTAGTCCCATATGGTCTTTGTTTTTTGAAAGAATTAGAACAAACAAAAAATGGACCATATTTTTAAGTTTTACCAGACTTACTCCATATTGTACATATTTTGAAAGCACTAGTAAATTCAAAATTTGTGTTCTTTAAATATGTGTTCTCACAACCATTGCTTTCACTTTCTCTTCTTCTGACATCTTCTACATATACTTTAAGGGGCCGTTCGCCATAGCTGCTTCTCCCCCATGTATCATCAGAGGCGGATCTAGTGTGAGAGTTACGGATTCAATTGAACACATAACTTTCGACGCGGAGTAGAAATTTATGTGTAAAAATTTATTAAAATTGCAAAAATAATAGATTTGAACTCATAACTTTAAATATATAACGGGTTCAATGTTAGAAATCTTAAAAAT